AATTTCTAGATATTATTGTTTATAAGTATTAATGGTAAAATTAGAATGCTAGAGAAGGCTCCTCAAAGCCCCTTAATGCATGGCAAGAAATCAAATCGCACACTCATTTTACTCTCAATGAAATGTAGATTGGTGTGGTATATGAGCAAGAACTACGCTGTACTCTCTATGAAATGTAGATTGTTGTCGGATAATGTTACGAGAATGGCAACCGAATGAGGATTAATTCTTACGTAAATGGTACATGATATTAATAATGATATGGTTGCCAAATGGAAAGAATAAAAATTCTTTTTAGAATGGCCGATATGAGATGCCTTGCGAATTCTTCTTTAATTGAAGCATCACTTAAAATCATTTGCAATAAAAAAATTGATGAAAATATTGAATAACTTAGATCATATAAAATTAATGTTGAAGATTACATGCTTAAAATTATCAAACAAAATCAACTAAGTATATCAACTAAGACATTATCACACACACTTAAAAGAAATAGTTGATATAACATGATTATTATCAAAGAAAAAAGTTTGAATTTTTATTGAGATTAAAATTTTTAATATTGAATAAATTTATAAATAAATTGGGGAAGAGGGAGGCTGCCCATCCCAATGTGTGGGTTGTAAGAAATGTGTTATTTATTCTAATTAAACTATCATTTCTTTCCTTTTAAATAATTTTCTAAATTTTGAATAATAATGAAAAATCCATTATTATTATTATTTTTATTTTAGAGCTACTAAATAAACAAAAGAGCTGTAATGTGCCACAATAATTCAAACTTACACATGCACCAATCTGATGGTCAATAACATTTGACAACACATAGGACAAATTAGACGGAATTGGTGAAACAATAAAGATTCTCGAAAATTATTATCCAATAAAGAAAGTTTTTAGTAAATAATAATAATAAAATTTTAAATAATGTTACAATTATAAAATCAATTTTTAAATCATATTCAAGCAAAGTTATTTCAACCATGCACTAATTGGGTTGCTATCATGTTTGAACCCTATTCCAATCTTTTTCAAACAGGGTTTCAACCTATTTTAACAAGGTTCAATCATGATTCAAATATGAATTAAATATGGTTTAAACACAACTAGAACATGACTCAAATAAGGATAGAAACATGATTGGAATAAAGTTCAAACATGTAGAACATCGTTTACCTACGATGGATGCAACATAGTGTGTTTCCAATTACCGTAACATGATGGATTAAAAAGTTGATACAACTAGGTGAGTACAATCACAACTGTCATCAAGCAACATTAATATGTTGTCGACTAATAATGAATATCATGATTCAAATGTGGTAGCCCTCCACTTCCAAGGATATTGGGAAGGAAGAGTCGACGTATGGTACGTGTCGACTAATAATAACATCTCAAGTAGCTTATGATAGCACTTACAAAACAAATTCATCATTGACTACAATTTTGACACTGAGGTGTAAGAGGAATCATACTCATACAATGCTATGGCCTTCATAAGTAGTGAGATCTCGTATATCATCCAATGCATTTTATTCAAGTTTTTTGAAAAAAAAAAGAGTTTTGCAATAGAAGATAACTTCAAGAACATTTTCTCCTCTCCACTGAAAATGCATAAAGGCTTCTTTAGGCCACTTGAAGAAGTCCATTCTTTTTTGCCTTATCATAATTGATACGTCATAAAAAAATTATCTTGGTCAAGCACGAATATCAATGCAAAATCAATTTGGAAACTTCCAAAATTAAAATTGGGACCATCCGAACTCTGATTTCAGCAAACTTATATTATAACTGAGTGTCTCAGAAATACAAACCCAACGACACCAAATTCGACTTAATCTGAGCCCAAATAAATCCAAATCGAGGACCTGAAGCGCTGTTGGAAGGTTCACACCATAATTTAAGTTATCAAACGGTTTCCAAACATGACATGTTTATAGTCAAATCTAGCATCTCGACGAGATGAATCCAACGAGCCCAAGATCACCGAATTCCGATATCATTAAGACATTCAAATGTCCATCAAACAGTCCATGATCAAGGGATTCAACATCGGCTGTCCATCAAACAGTCCATGATCTCTCACCTATTTTTGCGTCATGCCACTCGAGAAATCTAGGGATCCAACCACTCCCCATTTACCCTTGATCTCTCACCTATTTTTGCGTCATGACACTCGAGAAATCTATAAATAGTCCCATTATTTCTCTTGAAGAGGAGAACCAAGCAAGAAGAAAGGAAGAGAAGGAAGAAGCTCCTCCTCGACCACCTCCTGAGTTTCGTCGACCACTGGCTGACGTTGTTGCTGCCGGACCACCACCTGAGGCCCTGAGCTCCGCCGGACCACCACTTAAGGCCCTCACCTCTGTCAGACCACTGCTTGACGCCGTTGCTCCACTGAACCACCACGTGAGGCCCTGTGCTCCGCTGGACCTCCACTTAGTCCCTCACCTCTACCAGACCACCGCATGATGTCATTGCTTCATCGGACCACCACCTGAGGCCCTGAGCTCCGCCGGACCACCACTTACGGCCCTCACCTCTGCCGGACCACCACCTAACGTCGTTGCTTCTCCGAACCACCACCTGACGTTGTTGCTCTGTCGGACCACATGTTGAGGCCCTAAGCTTTGCCGGACTACCACTTAAGGCCCTCACCTTTGTCGTACTACCACCTAACGTCGTGATCCGCCGGACCACCACTTGAGGCCCTGTGCTCCACCAGTCCACCACCTGAGACCCAAACCTTCGCCGGACCACCACTTAAGGCCATGTGCTCCACCAAGGCACCATTTGATGCTTGGATTTCTGCCAAACCACCAACTAAGTCCTGGAATTCTGCCGGACCACCACCTGACACCCGGACTTCTGTCGAACCACCACCTGGTGCCCGGACTTCTACCGGACCACCACCTGTCGGACCATCACATGATGCCCGGACTTCAACTGGAGTACTGCCCTACTACTATGATCCTTCTGACCTCCATCACCAGACAACGCTCTTTCTGACCCTGGTCTCCTGCCAACTACGATCTTTCGAGCCTTTGTCTCCTGCAGACTACGGTTCTTCCAACCTCCATCACCTACTATGGTCCTTTTGACATCCATCACCAAACAATGGTCTTTCTGACCTTCCTCACCAGACAACAGTCTTTCTGACCCTGGTCTCCTGTCAACTATGGTCTTTCGGACCCCTATCTCCTGCCGACTATGGTCCTTCTGACCTCCGTCACTTACTACGATTCTTCCAACCTCCATCACCAAACAATGATCTTTGCGACCTCTATCCTATCGACTATGGTCGTGCTGACCGAACAAACATGTCTATATTGTAAATCTCACAATGTTATGTGCTTTATATGTTGTATATTTAAGCCAAGACCTTTTTCCAAGGAAGGGCCTCATTTATAATCGACTGCAAACATTAGTGGATTCATTCAAACTGGGCCAGGCCTCGTGGTTTTCCCTCCTTTTCAGGGTTTCCATGTAAAAACTCTGGTGTCTCTTATGAACGCTACACTCTCACTCTTATCTGCTTGTGTGCTGGATCTTTGTATAATGCTAAGACGTTAAACTATATATTTCTCTACCGCCGCGAATAATCTAAGTCGCAACAATAAGTGAAGATTATTGATGTATAACATTGATCAAATAATTCTGATTTTTAGATAATCGTATTCACTTTTTTTATATATATAAAATAAAGAATAAATATCCCGTATGATGAAAAAAAAAAGAAATTAAAGTTAATGGTATCGACTATTGAATAACTCATACCATCAATAAAATAAAAGATTTCTCATAATACTATCCAATCATGTTATGAGAGTATTCAATGATTATAACCATATTGCACTTCTACCATCCATTCCTATCTCCCTATCTTTAGAGTTGTCAATTAGTCAGATATCCAATACTTAAGGAAGACAATTATTCTTCATCAATCAGTTAGAAGGGATCATTGATGCATGGATTCATAGGCTTGCACATCTTTCCTGATGAATCTGTGAAACACTCATTCAAATAGTTCTTATTATTTTGCCTCCTCCTTTGATAAATTTTTTTTGCATGTCTCTTATGAAAAATGATAAGAGATGGACTAACATCTCTTACTTTCGGGACCTCTTTTTATGCATATATAATAATAAAGGATTATATCCTAATCCATATCTTAATCACACTCTCTAACTTATCTCCAACCTTTCATAGAAGGGCAAGGATAGACATTGCAACTTAATTATATTATCAAATAATTTAGTTTAAAAAAGAATCTTAAATTTCATGTAATCTTGTAGATGGTAAAAACCTTTTTTCTAAAATTTAATTTCATATTTTTATCATAATTATATTTAAAAATATTAAATAATATAATTATATTATCTAATAATTTAATTATATTATTTAATGATTTAACATTATTAATAGTAATATATGATATTTGAAATCATATCAAAAATCTTGAAAATTTTCAAAATAGGGCAAAAAGTTATAAAATTTATTTTAAAACAAGTAAAAATAAATTTTAATATATTACACTAATCTTAAATATATTAAAAATTTAAATTGATTCAAATCATTTTTTTTTCAATCAACAATATGTTAATAAAATAAAGCAATTAAGATTTTATTTAGGACAAAATTTTTACTATTTTTTAAAATAATATTTTAATATAAAAATTAAATTTTTATATTAAAAAATAGCAACAAATTAGTCGCATTAGACAGATAATTTTGTGCGGACGCCAGATGGGAGAACTGTTCGGTAATGCTCGGTATTATGCTCGGTACCAAGTGCAGTATACATTTGAGGTGATATAGCGTATTTTTATTGGTCTCTAGATGCCGTCCGTACTCTATACTGAATAATTTATCCCAAATAGAGCCTAAATTTTTTTTCCATCTGACCTTTTTTTTTCACAGAATAATACGACGCAACCAAATACAAAATAACATCATACGGTATATAATATTAAAAATAAAAAAAAAATAATTTTCTTACGTTGAGGAAATAAAAAATCAAAGAAGATCGGCCAAGTTCTTCCCAGGCAGTTTCGCGGGAAGACAGAGCTCGCAAATTGTCATGTGTCAGCTAAAGACGATCGGAGTTCTATTCGTTTGTGGGCTTGTAGCAGTGATCGCTTGCTTCGCCTCCACGCCGCCGCGAGAGCTGACTGTGTTGGTGGAACCAGTGAAAGGCCATCTCTATGGAATGGTAAAATCCCTTCTTACTTCGGGCTTTTCCCGGTTTCATTTTCTAGTGTCTTCTTGTACAAGATCATTGTGGCTTTGGATGTCTCAAGTTATTATATTAGGCCCCAAATAGTCTGTGTCGGCAAGAAGAAGTAAAGAAAGTGGTCTGCTTGGGGAAAATCTGCTCGGGAGGAGAAAATAGTTTATTTTTCTCTCTTGGTTTGAGGGGATTGGGAGGAGTTTTTTTTTTAATCTCTTTTTGGATAGTTGGAAACAAGTTGACTGTGGCGAAGTGGATTCTGATTCAATAGTAAAGGGCGGTTTAGTTTGAAGTATTTTGATTGTAGTGTAGAAGGGTACAGAAATTTGGAAAATTTAGTTATTTTGTTGTATGAATAAGGAATGCAGCTTAATTTGTTGATGTATTTGAAATTCACCCTTTTGATATATTCCAAAATCATTCACTTTGACTATTTGAGAGATTTTTTAATACATAGTGCACCTGAATTCTAAATTTACTATTTATGATGCACTAGAATTCTAAATACTCTCAACTAAATGCCCCCTAAGTTGCTTAGAGTTGTGGCCAAAGATGAGTGAAAACTGAAATGATTTTAAGCTAAACAGCCAAAAACTTGACAGTCCTTCAAAATGTTTTGATTTATGCGGATTTGTTGATTTAGAGTGAGAGAGAGAAAGTAATGAGTAAGAGAGTTTGTTGGCCTCCTAGGGTGAATTACTTGATTGAATCTAAGTTAGACAACCAGTGGATAAATTACTTGATTGAATCAAAAGTTGGCTTTGTTCTTCTTAATGAACTCCACAACACAGGTTAATGCCAAAAAAATTCTTTGAACCTCTTGTCTCAATGACTGTGTGGTCATCTTTATGTGCAGGTTTCCAGATACCATAAGTTTTGGAAGGTAGGATTGTCCTCAGCTTCTCATTTCAACCGCATTTTTTGCCAAGATTGGCACCTTAGTGTTCTTTCTTCAGGACATCAAAGAACCCTCTCTAGTGGTGGAGTCAAAAAGAAGAGAAAAAGATTCGGACGTTTTAGCGCTCAAGGATGCACTCAAGTATCTTGATGTTGATTTTTTCAATGAATCGAAAGTACTTATTACCTCTCTCTTTTCGTTTATGCCTTAAAGTCATTGGGTTAGCTATAGCACTTACATGATGGTCTTAGGTGCGAGAAATAGCAGAGGGTGCAAAAAAGTTCAACATACCCGGATTCAAAGAGAACCGCAAGTTGGTTGCTTCTGTTGATGGAGGGCTACACAACCCTTCAGTTCTAGTGTTTGATTCATCTTGGGGTATCGGAGATGGGAGCCATGGTGTTCCTAAATTTAATTACCCTCATCTATCTGGTGTAACGAGACCAGACACAGAGGATGACATAGCTTTCATGACTGTAGGTCAATAGCTTTATTTTGAGCTTTTTATACATGCAAAAAATCACACTAATGTGTCTAACAACTTCTTGCCAGATTCTTGAACTAGGTGCCCTCATTAAGACTAAACAGATTACATCGAGTGAGCTTACAGCAATTTTCCTAAGGAGGTTAAAGAGGTATTTTTCAGTTAATAAGAAATTCTTGGTTTTTTATATACCCTTCTATTACTTTCAACATAAAGAAAACATCTAAAAGCTTTAACTGGGAAATTTCCTCACCATCTGAAATAGGTATGATCATGTCCTGCAAGCTGTGATTACATATACTGAGGAACTAGCATATAGTCAAGCAAAGATGGCAGATGAGTTACTTGATCAAGGAGTATATTTGGGTGCATACATATATCCACATTTTGATATTTTATCGCAAATTGTACTAAATCTAACTTATCAAATTTTCTTTGAGATTTTGAGACAATTTTACATATAACCAAGCCATCTAAACATTATAATGATAGAAACATAAGCTCAGGGCAGTTTATATTGCTCTGAACTGCATTCATATAGTTTTTAAGCAAAGGTTTTTTATGATTTTTCTTTTGCCTGATCATTTTTTTCCTCAAGAAAAGCTTTAATTAGTTCACATCTAGTTCAACAAGATTTCTTTGCTATTGATTGGTTGCTTTGCGGTCAGGTCCGCTTCATGGAATTCCCTATGGATTGAAAGATCTCGTCGCGGTGCCCGGCTATAGGACAACATGGGGATCAAAGACATTCAAGGATCAAGTTATTGATACTGAAGCATGGATTTATAAAAGGTGCTTGAATCATGGTAGCATTTTAGGTGTATGGAAGATAGCTTACTGATCAATGCAACTTTATTATTGAAGGTTGAAAGAAGCCGGTTCGGTCCTCATTGCGAAGCTTGTCACGGGATCATTGGCCTATGATGATATTTGGTTTGGAGGAAGGACCCGAAATCCTTGGAACATTGAGGAATACTCAACTGGCTCATCAGCAGGATCAGCAGCCACTACTTCTGCAGGTTATGCCAAGCTTTATAATGTATTTTGTCATTTTCGCCATCAGAAATTTCATAACCAGATCAAATTGTTTCTTTATATGACAACTTTGTGAACTTTGATGTAATTTTTTAGGGCTTGTTCCTTTTGCAATTGGCTCAGAGACATGTGGGTCTATTACTTACCCTGCAGCTCGCTGTGGAATAACTGCCTTAAGACCAACCTTTGGAACTGTGGGTCGAAGTGGGGTGATGTCCTTATCTGAGAGCTTGGTAGGATTCGGTTTCATTATCAGTTTTTTCACTTTCAGTCACTTAGTTCAAAGATCTTGTTGAAGCTAAGAAATTGAACTTTAATCTTAGGATAAACTTGGCCCTTTCTGCCGGAGTGCCGTAGACTGCGCGATTGTAATAGATGCAATCCGCGGGGCGGACCCTGAGGATCTTTCATCTCGGCATGTTCCACTTGATGATCCATTTTCAGTTGACATAAAAAAACTCACAGTTGGCTATCTTGAAGATGCTGAGATGGAGGTTAGTTTACCTCAAAGATTGTTGTGGTTGGTACAAACGTAATAGTAAAACTGCTTTGATAGACTTCATTGCTATTTTATCCTTGCTCATGACAGGTTGTGCATGTGTTATCTTCGATGGGTGTTGAGGTTGTTCCTTTTAAGCTAAATTATTCAATAAAATCAGTTCAGCAAATCCTCAATTTCACTATGGATGTGGACGTATTGTCACACTTTGACAAGTGGCAGCGCACTGGGCTTGATGACGAATATGAAGTGCAGGACCAGTGGCCATTTGAGCTGCGGCGTGCTCGACTGATCCCTGCTGTAGACTATGTGCAGGTTCTAGTGCTTTATAAATCCGCTATTTTCCACATATGAAACAGTAATAGAAGCTAATGTCACCTCTGCATCTACAAAAAAATTAAGTAAATGTACTTTAAAACAGATACAATTTTAATAAAAGTTGTCAATGTTAGGCTAGGAAAATTTTTTTGAGCAAAATATCAAACAAAAAGCTAAGGGAACAAACATAATTGAGAACACAAAATACAAAAATTTCATGGTTTGATGGGATTGATCAACATCCACGAACACATAGATGAAATATTCTACTAAGCTTTTAAAAAGTATATCAAGAATTTCTCTTCATACAAAATTGAAGATAAGGATAGAGTATCACTTTATCTATGTCAATAACTCATGAGTGATGCAACCATTTTCTCCGAAAATAGGGGCTGAATGGGAAATAAGGTTAATCAATTTATCTATGTCAATGAGTAATAAAGTATCACTTTAGCAAGCTCTGCTTATATTTGCATATCAATAGAATTTTTACTTCTTTAATTTTGATTAGCCACAAAGTATTCTATTTCAGTGAATTGTGAATGAAATGGTACTTAGTTGTTTATTCTTTATCATGAACTATAAAGTAGCTTTATTTGTTAAGTGAATTGCGTTGTCCGTTATTGAAGATTGTGGCATCCTCTTATGTTCTTCCTAGTTCTTCCAAAATATCTTTTAGTCAGACCATCCCCTTAGTAATTGCTAGTATCATGCTTATATTCTTGGAATTGCTATTATTTTTTGCTGTTGTGACATCCAGCTAATTGTGGTACCAACGACGATGTAGATGTACTCCATGTTACTTATCTAGATCTTCTTTTATATCTGTGTCATCATAGCCCTACAATTTTTACGTCAACTTTTCTAAACTACAGTGAGTGATTTATGTGTGTTCCAAGTAACGTAAGATCCACTTCATAGCTTCTCAGCATTCCTTTCCTAAATTTGACATGTCTCAACTGATAACTCCCATTACATGAGCATTGTCATGTCTTGTGCAAACCATTGCATATATCAAAGAACCAATTGCTACGTTTGGAGGATTTTAGCCACATAATCCATCTCTTCATTTGTCTTTGCTGATTGATCTTTTGAAAGCTTAAAGTGATTAGCCAGGGGGGTTTATCAGCTTTGCTTTCATCATATTGAATATGTGCAATATTTTTTTAATTTATTAAAATTGTGATAGATTTAGACTATCTATAGCTTTATTGTGGTCAGCTCTCATCCCTAAAGCCCTTATTGCTTCTTTTAGATTCTTTATATCAAATTCATTTGACAATTATTTCTTTAAGTCATTAATCTTCTTTATGTTTGCCCCTGCAATCAATATGTTATTAACTAATATAGGCAAGATAATACGATATTTTTTCAGTTCTATTTATATAGAAGTAATGATCCGCATTGCATATATGAAAGTCAATATTGTATATGAAAAAAATCAAACTTTAGATATCATTTGTGAGGGGCTTGCTTTAAGCTATGGAGGCATTTGAAGTACTTGCAAACCAGGCTTTTTTTTCTCTGGTGTAACAAAGATTTTGAGTTGAATAAAGTTTTTATTACCCTAGATCACCATAGAGAAAAGTAGTCTTAACATCCATTTACTCAAGGTGCAAGATTTTTATTGCTGCAATGTTCAATTCAAACTGTATAGTTTTTTATTTAACTGTAAGAGAAAATTTTTAGTGAAGTCATACATTCATTTGTTGGAAGCCTTTCAATATTATCCTCGCAGTGCATCATTTATCGTCATTTTGCTCCTATTTGACTTTCTAGATCCAATTATTTTGCAAAATTTTCTTATCTTTGGCTAGCTTAATCAATGTGTTTTGTTTTAGAGAATCAATTGTTGAGCTTCGTTCAGTTTACGTTATGGCCAATCATGAAACATGCTAAAGATATTCTGTATGTTTGTTGAGCTTGTCTTACTAATTAAGCAATTAGATTTACCATTTATTTTATAAGGCTTAGATCTCAAGGATCTTTTACTCTTAGCTTTTTTAGATTTACTATCGTTTTGACTTGGTCTATAAAAACTCCCCTTGTTTAAGAGTGGGTTTGAAGAAATGGCCTCCTTAAAGGGAATGCCTTCAAGTCAAGCTATGGTGCAATAAAGAAAGGCTTGGATTCTTTTGAACCCGTTCACGTTTATACCTTCCAATGGTGGATCTCTTGTCATTGATTTACCTTGCTGTTACAAATTGGTGTTCACCATGTTACTTTTGATATTTAAGGCCTAAAACTTAGAGTTGGCTATTGGAATTATGCGATGGTGAATCTGGTAATTATATTAGCAAGATCACACCTTCGTGTTTATCTTATAACTTTTGATATTTAAAGTCTTGATCGTAAAATTAGATGTCAAGACATACTAGTGGGGAATCTTTAAAAATTGTATCGCCCAAATGTCACGCCTCAATATTACTTTGTGCAACCTTTGACATTTAAGATCTTGACTAAAGAATTGGCTGTTGGGATCTTTTGTGGTAGATCTCATAATTACATCAGTCATGCCATTTATTCTTCCTGTAATATTTTATATTTAAGGCCTAAGTTTTTTAATTGAGAATTGGCTCTTTGGAATTTTTTATCGCAGATCGCTAGGAATTGCATTTCCCAAATGTCATGTTTCGGTGTTCACCATGTAACCATTGATATTTAAGGCCTTAACCTTGGAATTGGTTGTTAGGATATTCTAGTGGCTAATATGTATTAATTAATTATATTGCACATATGTCAATCATTGATGTTCATTAGACAGTTGAATATTTAAGGCCTTAGACTATGAGTTTGCTTCCGAGACTTCTCAATGGTAGATCTCTTATTAACTGCATTTCCAAGATGTCACACCTTGATGCCCACTATACAAGATTGGAAATTTAAGGTCTTCACCTCTTAGTGTACTATTAGGATATTTTGATGGTGGATATCTAGGAATTTTATTACCTAGATGTTATGCCTCGATGCTCACTATATGATGCCTTTATGTAATGCATTTTTTTTTGAAATGCCAGTCATGCCTTAAAGCAAATTGTTGGGCGAAGGCTTTTTAAGTTTTCACTTTGAGGATGATCTAATTGGAGATTTATTGTTAGTCAAAATATTCCTTTGAATTCATCTTTTCTTGATGGTATAAATAGCCTTATAAATGGAGGTCTTGGCCTTCTAATATGCCACCAAAATCTTTCTGCGATAGATATCTAGGCGATGTTTTTTTAAATGTTACACCCTAGCGGGTTTTATTTTAGCATATTTAGTGAAAGATTAATATTTTAAAATATGAGTCATGTCTTAATATGACTTTTCTAAGAGAATACTCTAGGTCTTAACTTTGAGTTTGTCCTTATATTTAATGTTGATAGTTGAGAAATGTGTTGTTGGTTTCTAGCTTTCTGTGAAATACCTCTCTCCTTAATAAAATGAAGGTCCCTATAAGTGAAAGAGGAAAGGTTATCCCCTGCTATAGCTTATGTGGTCAGTGCTCGGATACCTTTTAAATAGCTTATTTTATAATAGCTTTTAGGTTATTCCTTTTGAACCCCATTAAAGCACCTTGAAGTCATTCTGAGTGAGGATGGTAGCTATTGGAGTTTGTCACAAAGATCAATGCTTAACTGAGTTTTGGAGGCTTAATGTTAGGTGACCATTTTCCCAAATTTGGTTTCTCCTATTTGGTTCATGGCATAAGTGGAAGGAGTTTGGAATGGATGGAGTTTGTATCATTTGAGAATTCTATCGAAATCTCAGTTTAACTTGAGTGAAGCTCCATAGATGGTGAGAGAAATTTGCCCTAACAAAGTCTCCCAAAATCTAATCACTTAAGAAAAGCCTACCCTTTCCATGTGAGCCTCTTCGATGTGTAGAGAAAACTCACAAGTAATTTTTCTTAAAATATATTAGCTTTAATTTGATATTTAACCTGATGTTTTAGACCATGATTTATTTAGATATGAGATCGAGACTTCCGATAGGAGCATGTTCCTACTATTATATATTTTTAAGAGCATGTGTTTAGCAATTTATCATTCATGTTCCTACTATTAATTACCTCTCTTGCTCATGGGAGAGCACTCTTAATTAAAGAGATTTCCTATGCTTAAATTTAACATCGTATTTAACATTTATGAGTAAATTTAATTCTATGCAGTTTGTTTAGGGTGCTAGAGGTAAACTTGATAAAGATCTCAAGATTTTATTATCTCGATTATACCAATGGATTTAGTTTATCAACGTCGGAAGTCTTTGAACCATAATTGTTATGGAGTTTGATTAGCAATCATGGGTTGCTTCCTCTTAGGTACCCCAAGCAGAAAAAGGTGAATGTATGTGTCAAAGATGCTCTTTCAAGATTTGCATTAATTACTGATAGAGGATTGGCTATACTAGTTTCGCTAAATAGTTCAAAGCATGAAGCATGGCCTCTTTTAGTTTAGAGGTATTGGTTATGATAAAAAAAAGCTCTGAGGCATGTCATGAACATAAATTATTCATGAATTTTATTCGCGACTTTTGGGTGGGTTGGAGTTTACATCTTTTGGAAGGCCTAAGTTTTGATTTAATGGATTTTTTTGCTTTTCGTTGACCCAAATTAATAAGTTTGAGGCTTACATCCTTAGGAAGGCCCATGCTAATTTTAATGGAGCTTACATTTATTAAAAAGCCTATAAGCGGGACATATAATGTTGAGGAAGAAAGTCCAATTATGTGTCTTATGGACTTACCCTATATTTAAGGTGATTCGTTATATATGATAAGGCTTGCATTCTTTGGAAGGCTAATTATATCTCATTTGCATTCTCAATTTGTTTTTAATATTTATAAATAACTTGATTCAAAACATGGCTTATTACTCTATTTGTGAGTTACTTAAAGGGTTGAGGCTTACGATCTTGGCTTTTAGCATGCCAACATGCGGGGCTTACAATTCAAATATTTGAATCATCTCAACTGCAGGTCTTAAGACCATCCCCTCTAAGCAGCAAGGCGACACAAAT